TGTCTTTGCTACTGTTCAAAGAAACCATTTCTTTAAATATACTGATCATGATTTAACCAGTCAACATCTCCATTCACCTCTGACGGTAGAAAAGAAAGCTGCATATATAAATTTCAGATAAATAAATAAATTCAAAATAAGTGAAGTTATTTTTCTTATACAAACCAATAACCACACAGCGCACTGTTGCTAGAAGCTCTAGGATCAGAAAGCAATAATGAAACATCAAAAGAATTCACATTAAAAATATTTAAGCAGCTGATTTACATAATCCAATTGATTTCATGAATACCATGTTAGAATTCTCATGAATACTCTTGTTAGAAACCCATAAGTGTTTGAATTTGAATTTTATTACTGCAAGCTGGGCCTGGTCAAACCTAAATCTAAAGATTAAAGTATAATCTGGGCATTAGAAGATACTAACCTACTAAACATTCAGACTAAATTGTCATAGAAAAGGTTCAGTGCTCTCATGCCTATAGGTGTCAAAAAAAATATAGGGAGGAGACAAGAGATAAAAGCTATCTATACCAGCATTCAGAGCTGCGCTTTTCTACTTTCCTAAAGCTGATATTGACCTTGGCTGTCCTAATGCAGATTTCTATTTTAACCCAAGACAAGAAGAATGTATATCAATTCTTTATGGGAAAGCATGTCAATAGAAGGTTTAGGGCACGCATTCATCAAATTCAGTGGCATTCATAAATGTAAATGTCTATTTCTCTGTTAATTATAAAGAGCACAGGTAACAACAGTGATCTAACAAAACATAAGTTTTTGTTTTGACACAGAATGGTTTCTTCAGTTCATGATTTCATCAAACACACCAAGGGAAAAGTCCTAAACATTTCACTAAAACTAGGCCCTCCTTAATTTCAGCCTTCCTTTCTTCCCAACAAAACCCAACTCAAACCCACACTTTCCAGCATCATAACTAAAATGAAAGCACAGCCATATTCTAAGTTTGCTGGAATTTTCAAAGCAGTTTGCATGCCAATTATGCTAAAACCCAGAACTTTCCCTCACTATCTACTACCATAGTAAAAAGCACCTGACTTAGAAGGGGAGCCAATTCACACAATCATTTTGCCACACGAAACTGCCCCTTTGACTTGCAAAGACACTGCAGAGCTCAAGCGTTAATCATGCCTAATTCTGTTTAGGATTGGGGCTTGGTATTATGGACAAATAACATCATCCTGATCTTTGCTCATGCAGGAGCTCATGCAGAAAGCTAACATGCTACTACAAATTTTTGTTCAATACAATACTGAAGGCAGGTCCATCTGCACGCATGTGCCTGTTTAACTTCCAAGTGCATGGAGCTTGTCCCTGTACAGGGCATACCACTATTTGTCCTTAATCTGGACTTCTTACAACTCAGTTCTCAGACCTGTTTGCTGGCCCAACAAGTCATTGCAAATAGGTTGTAACGCCCACCATCTGTGCAATGTGACAAAACATGTCACTGTAGCAAAGCAAAATAAACAACCAGATGCAAAATGAGTACAAGTCAACTACAACAGCCTAACTTGTTTATCAAAAAGGCTGCCTACCACCTTTCCTCCTTAGGTTTAGAGTGTAGTTTTGCCATCGGCAAAGAAAAGAAAACTTACTAGACCACACTAAGATCCATTAATATGCTGACATTCATTTCAGTGAGTGCACTGAACTGCTTACTGGAGAGGAGACTGCCATAAATAATCAAGCACAGTTCTCCAAAATGTCATGTGAGCCTTTCTTTAAAATGGGTGCTATATTATCAAGTAAATACAAGACACCTTTGCAGACAGGGTCATGCTATACAGAACTCAAGCCTCTTGTCCTCCTATCTGCAAAAAAGCTGGTGCGAAAGTCTCGGTACCGCCATGCAGTATTTATACTGTACTATAGTTCTTCACTAATCCATAAAAGCCTTTGGAAAAACTAAATTAAGAACCACCACAAACAAAAAGAAAAAGCATCTACCATTTGAAGTTTGATTCTAATTGTATTGCACAAAACACCTACAGATCTGCATGATCACTTGAAGAAAGAATTCACTCCTTATTTGCACTCTTGTGAATTATTCTAGATCCACACTTTAAAGATAGCCGCATGGTCTCCAGAGAGTAGCACAGAGATAGCTGGCAAGAAAGAAAGAAAGAAAGAAAGAAAGAAAGAAAGAAAGAAAGAAAGAGCTAATGATTAAGTTAGATAGTGCATCACTTTAACTTAACAGTCACAATGCGAAAGAGAGTTAAGTGAACTGAAGTGCACGTCAGCTCTGAACTGGGGCTTTGGTGCTTACTGCATTAATTCAAAAACACTGAAATGTTTCCATACACTACTTCTACTGACCCCCCCCTTGCTTTGGGCAAGCGTTGCTGCAACATGTGTCCAGCAGAATGGGCACATGCCCCACAAATATTAAGGGCAGTGGGGACTATGTTCACACACTGACTTTGATCGGGACCATTTTACACATTAGTTGTACTTTAACACAGGGGATTATATCAATTCCCGTACAATTGATATGTTGAGCAGCGACTGACGTTTGGGCCTTTTCAGCATGAGATGTAAAAGCGGCTGGGTGTGCAGGATAACACCTATACCCGGTTGCTTACTTCGCTCCTGCATATACACAAAGCCAATACTCTTCTGCTCCAGGCTAATTCAATGTGGAGTAATGATCAAGTCCTTAACTGTGTGCTCCCAGCAGACTAAAACGCTACCAATTCAAGCACACCAAAAGTGTGAGGATTGTGCATTTCTCTACTTTTTTTTAAAACTTCATTTTAAACACAAGGGGGGTGGGAATAAGCCTTGTTAAGCAACGCCTAGCCAAGGGTAATGATCCTGAGTGTGTAGCCGCGACCACAACTAACCCTCATTGTTCCGCTCCCAACAAGAGCAAAGGCGGAGTTCTCGGCTCGCTTTAGTTTAAGGTTATCAGATTCCCCCCCCCAATGAATCCGGGGACACTTTTCAACTTCAATGGATGCTGTATGGCGACTGATTTGTAAATCCGGGGACTGTCCCCGGGAAACGGGGACGTCTGGTAACCTTACTTTAGTTCTCTCCGGCTGCTTTCACAGAGGAGGGCAAAGATGTGAAAGCGACAAGTCTGGCTCTTTCCGGCTCAGGATGAGGCTCCTTGGCATCCTCGCTCCCTGCCCGCTCCACTGCGCATGTAAACGGAGCGCATCTCTCTCCCCCCCCCCCCCGCATCTTCTCCTCTTAGCAAAGCAAGTTCCTTTCCATTTGAACTCCCTGGGTTCGCCTAAGGGGAGAAGAGAGGATGCTCGCTGCTCCCCGGTGCCCACCCCCACTCCCCCCCCCAAAAAGAGCAAAGGCGTCGCATTGATACCGAGTGTTTCTGGACGGTAAAGGAAGCTAGGAGAGCGACGGGAAGGAAGGGAAGGCGAGCAGGGAGCGTGACCGCAGGAAACTCCTCGCCAGAGGAAAGGGAGGGGGGAGACGGAGCCCAGCAGGCCAGGCCGGGGAAGGCGCGCTTTGGTGGGCCTCCCCATCCCTCCTCCTCCTCCTACCCGCGGCAGACGCTGAAGCAGAACCGGCCCGCCGCATCCCTCCTGCTCGTCCAGCCGCCGAGTGAAGACCCGGACCGAGACCCGCCCCCTCCCCTTCCCCCCTCCCGGCAGGTCCCGCTGCTGGACCTGGGCCAGCCCGAGCAGCTCCTGCCCAAGAAGCAACAGGCGGCCTTCGCTCCGCCAGCCGGTCTCCCCCCGCCCCACGCAGGCCAGGCCTGGCCGAGCCCTCCGCGGGCGCAGCGGGGCGCGCGACCCCCTTCTCTCCACCCCCCTGGAAAAACGAGGCTGGACGAGAGAGGCTGGCGCGCACCCCACCCCCCCAAGCCAGCAACGCCCCCCTCAACGCCGCCGACCGAACCGGGATGCTCCCTTGGGGGGGGGAGGTTCCCAAGAAGACAGGAAAGAGCGAGATCCAAGGAGAGGTTTGCGCAGCGCCTTACAGTTGTTGCAACAGCAGCAGCGCCGGTGGTCGAGTGCGGGTCGCGCGAGGAGCTTGCGCCGCCGCTCCGGCCTGATGAGCTGCCCCTCCGCCTCGCCCCGAGCCCGGCTGGGCCGAGGGTGACCCTCGCCCTCCCGAAGTTCAGCCGAGGGCGTCTCGGGGAGGGGGGCGTCTTTTGTCCGTCTCCGGGGAGGGGCTGGTGCCAAGAGAGACCCGCTTTCTCTCTGCCGGGCGAGGCCCCCTCGGCTCCTTTTGCGCCCTCGGAGAAACGCGCGCCGGCTCCCCGGACCCTGAATCCTGCGACAGCAGTTGCCCTATTTTCCCCGCGGCTGCTCTGGGCGGAACGAAGCGCGCGGGCGGCGGGAGGGAGGGAGAAAGCGAGGGTCGGATTCGGCCCGGCTCTCCTCTCCAACACGTGTTAAGAAGTTTCTTCATTCTCTCCCCCCCCCCGCGCCCCGTTTCGCTATTAGGTGGGTAGCCTCAACTATGGAACCCCCTCCCCAATCATCTAGGGGCCAGGTTACCTTCTCCCCCCCCCAATAAAATATTTGAGGAGGACAGACCCATTCCCCCAAAAAGTTAATGGGCAAAACCATTCAGATGCTGTGTTGTGCGCGCGCCCTGTCCTGGGATTGGTTATGCGAGCTGGGGCTTACCTGCGCCCCCTCCCCCCAAAATAATATTTTATTCAAGTTGGCACCCCTGCCCCCAAAACAGTTTGCCTGGCTGACAAGAGTGTTTTCTTTGAAGCACCAGGTATTTTTTTTAACGGGATATTAATTGTCCTGCTAATTATGCAGCTGGCCGCTTGCTCTGCTGCTGCTTTCAACTTCCAGGAATCTTTCACGTTTTGGTCTTATGAGAGCCTCAGGGCAAGATTTGATCCACAGGCAGTGATAAAAATCTGTTTTAGTGGATGAATGCATGCATAGCATTAACTATGCCTGAAGAAGAAGAGGAGGAGGAGGAGTTTGGATTTGATATCCTACTTTATCACTACCCTAAGGAGTCTCAAAGCAGCTCACAATCTCCTTTCCCTTCCTCCCCCACAACTAACACTCTGTGAGGTGAGTGAGGCTGAGAGACTTCAAAGAAGTATGACTAGCCCAAGGTCACCCAGCAGCTGCATGTGGAGGGGCGGGGAAGCGAACCTGGTTCACCAGATTACGAGTCCACCGTTCTTAACCACTACAGCACACTGGCTCTATATAGGTCAAAAGGCTCTATGTAGGTCAAAAGGCTGCTTCCAGTATTTTTAGGATGTTAGGCCACCATGATGCTGCCTCTTCCTCAAAATATTTTCATTCGGTACATTTAGGGCTGATGTTATGCATATTTGTGTAGGGGTACTGTATAGGGATACTGTAAACCCTGGGACGCGGGTGGCGCCGTGGGTAAAACCTCAGCGCCTAGGACTTGCCAATCGCATGGTCGGCGGTTCGAATCCCTGCGGCGGGGTGCCCTCCCGTTGCTCGGTCCCAACGCCTGCCAACCTAGCAGTTCGAAAGCACCCCCGGGTGCAAGTAGATAAATAGGGACCGCTTACTAGTGGGAAGGTAAACGGCGTTTCCGTGTGCTGCTCTGGCTCGCCAGAGCAGCTTCGTCACGCTGGCCAAGTGACCCGGAAGTGTCTGCGGACAGCGCTGGCTCCCGGCCTCTAGAGTGAGATGAGTGCACAACCCTAGAGTCTGTCAAGACTGGCCCGTACGGGCAGGGTAGCTTTACCTTTACTGTAAACCCACAATTTATTTTAATTTATTTATTGCATTTATAGAGCACCTTTATCTTAGAAGGGTCTCAAGGTGGTGCATTGGTTCTCCCCCTCCGAATTTCTTCCTCATAGCTACAGCTGGGCGATACCTGGTTTTCAACATCACAATATATTACCAGCTAAGCATCGTGATATAGCATCGTCATATAGTGATATATCACAATGTCTGAAATAAGGATGGAACTATGTAGAAGCATGAGCTGGCTTTACAGTTTTCCCCACGTTGTGATTTTTTGCATAGTGCGCACACAAACAAAAGCATATGATTTGTGATCCATTGCCAGGTCTAAAATTGTGAAACTGATGTCACGACATGGATTTCAAACTGGTTTTGGACAATATATCTCACAGTCCCACTCAAAACAACCCTTTGAGGTAGGATAGACTAGGAGATGGTGACTGGCCCAAGGTCACCTGGTGAGTTTCATGGCTGAGTGGGGATTCAAACCCTGGTCTCCCAGGTCCTAGTCCAACACACTAACCATTACACAACAAAAGGGTTACAATCTGGGGATTGTACCCAAAGCCAAAATCCCATTCAATCAAAACACAATGAGGTCAATGTTGGGTGGGATTGCCAAAGTCTCCCCCCCCCGAATGCCCCCCCCACTTTCCATCTGCTTATTATTGTTGTTGTTATTTTTATTATTAATTGACAAGCGCTTAAACCTGAATACGCACAAAGTGAATGTGTATAAGTTGTGGGCTTACTGTACACCCCATTGAACTGTAAGGAATGTAAACATGCATAGGATTATGCTGTAAAAGGCCTACATCAAAGAACACCATGAATATTCTTGGGAATAACAGATATAACTTTTTATCTGCAATATATTAATATCTATAATTATGGTCCTTACAGGAGTTGGTGTTTTCATTTCAAAAGCTTGTGTTTTAGTTATAAAAGAAGATACTGCAGGGAAAAAATGGAAATAACAAAACTATGTTCCCCTTTCTGCCACAACTTTTTCTACTTACTGTAAAGGCAGTCAGTGTGGTCTAATACTTAAAAGAGTGTTGGACTAGGATCTGGGAGACCAGTTTGAATCCCAAAGGGTTACCTTGGGTCACTGACAGTCTTTCAGCCATTTCTCCTTCACAGGGTTGTTATGAAAATAAAATGAGGGCGAGAATTGTATGCCCCACCTTGCGGTCCTTGGAGGAAAAGTGGGATATAAATGTAATTATTAATATTGGTAGGAAACAGCTTTGGGAGGTATAACAGTCTCCGCATGCCTTGCCATGTTGCCAATAAAAGGGAATGGTTTCACTTAATGTACTTAAATCATGTCACTGAAGCAATTTTCTTTTCTTGGCAGTATAAACTGGAGACTACATCCGTTGGGTATGACATGCGAATAACTACACGAGTACAACAATCCTGCACCAGAGTACATATACTGTACAGTCACTAAACTCTGCGTGTGAATACTGTACAAATGTACCCCCTAAACTGCTTGTGTATCCAGGTACAGAGATTGTACATGTGTTGAATGTAACATGTGAACACACCCATTATCTGTCCTTAATCTGGGCTTCTTACAACTCTGTGCTCAAACCTGTTTGCTGGCCCAACAAGTCAATTGCAATGGGTTGTAATGCCCGCCATCTGTGCTGTGCAATGTAACAAAACATGTCACTGTAGCAAAGCAGGATAAACAGCCGGATACAAAATAACTTCAAGTCAACTACAACAGCCTAACTTGCTTATTGAAAAGGCTGCCTACCACCTTTCCTCCTTAGGTTTAGAGTGTAGTTTTGTCATTGGCAAAGCAAAGAAAACTTACTAGACCACACTATGATCCATTAATATGCTGGCATTCATTTCAGGGAGTGCACTGAACTGCTTACTGGAGAGGAGACTGCCATAAATAATCAAGCACGGTTCTCCAAAATGTCATGTGGGCCTTTCTTTAAAATAGGTGCTATATTATCAAGTAAATACAAGATATCTTTGCAGACAGGGTCATGATACACAGAACCCAAGACACTTGTCCTCCTATATGTAAAAACACTAGAGAGAAAGTCTCTGTACTGCCATGCAGTGTTTATACAGTACTATAGTTATTCACTAGTCCATAACAGCCTTTAGAAAAACTAAATTAAGAACCGCCACAATCAGAAACAAAAAGCACATACCATTTGAAGCTTCATTCTAATTGTATTACAGAAAAACACATACAGATCTGCACAATTAGTTGAGGACAGAATTCACCCATTGTATGCAATACTGTAAATCATTCTGAATCGACACTTGTAGAGATAGCCAACTACGTCAATTTATATAAGTAAGCCTACGAAGTGTCTGACACTGCAGTCTGGTAATCTCTACACAATACCACAGAGATTACAGTGGTTGGGATTTTCAGGAAAGCTAATGATTTAAAATAGATAGTGCACCACTAAAACTCAATAGTTGCAATGCAACGGGAGAGCTAAGTGGACTGAAGTGCACTTAAACTCTGAACTGGAGCTTTGGGGCTTACTACAGACAAGCATTTATTTTGAAAACACAGAAATAGTGTTTTGCACAGACTGTACAGACTGGCTCCTTCTTGCTTTGGGAAAGCGTTGCCGAATCATATTTCCAGCAGAATGGGCACATCATGATACAAATATTATAAGCAGTGAGGACTATGCTCATACACTGGTTTTGATCAGGACCATTTGACACATCAGTTATTCCTTAATACAGAGGGGTTGCTATTAATTCCCCCTCATTGATCGTCAGCTGATTATCGGGCATTTTCACTGCGAGATAAAAGGAGTGGATTTATTAGCACGTGCAGGATGTCTGTACGGTTTTGCTCACTTTACTCCTGCCTGCACACCAATAAACTCTTCTATTGCACGCTAATTGTATCTGAAGCAATTATCAACTCCTTATCTCTGTGCTCCCAGCTATTACAACAGGTTAGAAACCTAGCTCTACCTATTAACGTGCCCCGAAAGAGCGGGTGATATTCATCTTTCCGCCGTACTTCCAACACAACCTCAGCCTTGTTAAACAACGCCCAGCCCAGGTGAAGGCGGAGTTCTCGCCTCCCTTTCGTCCTCTTCAGCTGTTTCCACGGAGGAGGGCGAAAAAGCGAAGCGAGCCAGACCAACTTCAACTGGGGATGATGATGCTTCCTTGGCATCCTTCGCCCCCCAGCCCGCTCCACCGCGCATGCAAACGGAGCACATCTCCAACCCCCCCCCCAAAAAAAACCCCTTCTCAACAATGCAAGTTCTTTTTCATTCGCAGCTCCTCGGTTCGCCTAACGGGAGGGGAGAGGATGCTTGCTCCCCGGTCCGCCCCCCCCTCCAAAAAAGCAAAGATGTTGCATCTAACTGCGCAGCACGACCAACCCCGAGTGTTTCAGAGCAGCGGGGGGGGGGGGGCGGAGAGAGAGACCAGAGGGTAGGAACCAGAGCTGCCTGGGAAGGCGAGCAGGGAGCGTGACCGCAGGAAACTCCTCGCCAAAGGAAAGGGAGGGGGGAGACGGAGCCCAGCAGGCCAGGCCGGGGAAGGCGCGCTTTGGTGGGCCTCCCCATCCCTCCTCCTCCTCCTACCCGCGGCAGACGCTGAAGCAGAACCGGCCCGCCGCATCCCTCCTGCTCGTCCAGCCGCCGAGTGAAGACCCGGACCGAGACCCGCCCCCTCCCTTTCCCCCCTCCCGGCAGGTCCCGCTGCTGGACCTGGGCCAGCCCGAGCAGCTCCTGCCCAAGAAGCAACAGGCGGCCTTCGCTCCGCCAGCCGGTCTCCCCCCGCCCCACGCAGGCCAGGCCTGGCCGAGCCCTCCGCGGGCGCAGCGGCGCGCGCGACCCCCTTCTCTCCACCCCCCTGGAAAAACGAGGCTGGACGAGAGAGGCTGGCGCGCGCGCACACACATACACACACACACACCCCGCCGCCAGCAGCGCCCCCCTCAACGCCGCCGACCCAACCGGGATGCTCCCTTGGGGGGGAGGGGAGCTTTCCAAGAAGACAGGAAAGAGCGAGATCCAAGGAGAGGTTTGCGCAGCGCCTTACAGTTGTTGCAACAGCAGCAGCGCCGGTGGTCGAGTGCGGGTCGCGCGAGGAGCTTGCGCCGCCGCTCCGGCCTGACGATCTGCCCCTCCGCCTGGCCCGAGCCCGGCTGGGCCGAGGGTGACCCTCGCCCTCCCGAAGTTCAGCCGGGGGGGGGGGGACGTCTTTTGTTCGTCTCCAGGGAGGGGCTGGTGCCAAGAGAGACCCTCTTTCTCTCTGCCGGGCGAGGTCCCCTTCGGCTCCTTTTGCGCCCTCGGAGAAACGCGCGCCCGGCCCGTGAATCCGGCCCGGCTCTCCTCCCCCGGCCCCGGCTCTCCTAGCCGCTCCCGGCCAGGCAACTATCTCGGCGCCGCCGGAGCGGGCGCTGCTTGCTGGGAAGGAGCCATGACAACAGCAGCAGCAACAGGAGGGGCCGCCAGGTGTCCCGCGAAGCCGGCGGGAGGCCAGATGGTCCTGCGGCTGGTGGCGCAGGAGGCGACTCCTAAGGGGTGAGGGGTCTTCGCCCCCCCCAAAAAAAATATTTGATGCGACTGCACCCCCCCCCCAATTGATGGGCACGGTAATTGAAATGGTGTGTGTACCCTTTCATATGATTGATTGTGCAGGGGGGCTGATTACCTGATACCCCCCATCGATATTTTATTTATGTTGCCATCACCAGCAGATGCCCTACTTTCTTCGCCACTGCTCTGGAAGAAAAAGGCCTGGGGAAAGAGGGAAATACAGGACATGGTGCCTGCCATATTTTGTGTTGAGGTGCAACCAACTTGTTGCAGGCCACCCCAATCTCTGTTTTGTTTTGTATGCAATTTTTATTTATTTTCCATTTAATAATATATATTCACATCATCATTATCCACTTCACCTCCCTGGGTCTTTAGAGCCTATCGACTTCCTTCCTGCCCGCCTCATGGCTTTCAAAATTAACCTTTATATATCATTGCATTTTATATGTTTTCCAATTCTAATTACACTCATTACAAAATAGATCAAAATTAAATATAGAAAGGTAGAAAATTTGTCATTACAAGTCTTCAGACAACCCTGCTAGTGATGTTAATTGCTTACAATAATCTTTCAGATATTGTATATATTTACTCTTTTGGAATAGTTGATCATGCTGGTTTCGGATTTTTGTTGTCAGCTTCGCCAGTTCTACGAAGTCCATCATCTTCATCTGCCGCTCTGTTTTCATTGGTACTTCTTGTTGTCTCCATTTTGGGGCTGAGAGAATTCTTGCTGCAGTTGTTGCATACATAAACAGTCTTTTATCTTCCCTTGGTATCTCTTCACCCACTATACCCAATAAAAAGGCTTCTGGTTTTTTAATAAAAGTATTTTTAAACATAGCAGCAGGCCACTGCAATCTCTGAGTGGTGTGAGATTCTGGAGGTTCTGGGCAATCACCCAGGGTTTGAGTTTCCTTCAGAGTGAGACAGAAACCATGGGGTCTTTAGGATATACGTTTTTGTTTACACATGAATACAATCTGACCCTACCATAGAGGCGCAGGAAATGGTTGGTTCTCACTGGATGCTGAACTGCCAGAAGCTGTATTCTCAACTCTGGCATTCGTCTTTCTAACTAGCAGGAATTTGAGCAGCGGGTTGTAGTAAGCCATTTCCTTTGTTCCCTTAATGGCCATTTCCTAGGCCATCACCTCACCAGGAAGACTATTCCATGAAGGCATTAGAAGGGTCTGGCCACTCCCAACCTTGTAATATATATTGTTATGAGTTTGGGGGTGTCAGACTCCCCTAAATCCCTGGACCCAGTAAGTGTTAGAATTTAATTAAGCCTCCTGATCCCCCGGATCCAGCAAGGGTTAAAAGACAAGGCAGGCTACTTGCCTTATGAGGTGATCACCTGGGAGATGAGCCATTAAGAGAGAACAAAGGAAAAGGTGATGGGCCATTAAGAAAGCAGAAGAGAGGGGACTCTGTGCCAGAGGGCAAATGGGTGGGGCACCTCCTCCAGCTCTTAGATAATCAGGAGGACAGAGTTTTGAGCAGAGTTTGCTGTGATGTGTCCTAGAGAGAGAAAGCTTGAAGGCTAGAAAAGCAGAGGGTGATATTTTCTTGAACCCAAGGATGCAGCTGTGGCAGAAACCCCAAAGAGGTTCATTTGGTGCCTTCATTATACATCTTTAGGTGCCAGGTTGTATATATGTGTAAATAATAATCCATATCATATAAAGACACCACAGTCTCATCTGTGCCTCATTTCCAAAGGAAACACAGACCCTGGGTAAGTGCCTGGATCTCACACTGCTCTGAGATCAAGGTGATGTTCAACAAAAGCTTGTTGACTGAACAAACCCTATATTATATATTGGAATGGAGCCAGAGGAAAGCCTCTGGAAGCCTAAATTCCCTTAAGTTCAAACGGGCCAATCAGAGGCTCTTATTGCTGGTCAGTGCCTTGCTGGTTGGCAGAAGAAGCAACCACACTTGAGTAGTCAAAGTGCTGTGGGAAAGTCTACTTAAATTTGTCCGGTCAATAGATAACTTTCATTACAAAAATTAGAAATTTGCATTTAAGGGCAGTTCCTTTCAACTCCTGCATAAAGCATCTTCAAGGAATGAAAGTTAGCTGTTTTGGTAACACGCTGTTTACTGCTGAGAAAAGTTAGAATTCAGAACTTTGCTGTTTGGGATCCATTCCATATTTTGGATTATTGTACTGGCAAGTTCAGCACATTAGTTTCACTTACTGGAGCAGCTATTTTGGCATCGGTGTTGCATAGATTTGCATTTTTAAGAGGTTCCCCCCTTTTTAAAAAGAACACAGCTTCCTCTGGTACATAACTCCATAACTCTTAATTTTCTACTGGAGGTTACACGTGTGCCTGAGGTAAAAATACAAAAATAATAATACAGCCCTTAAGGTAGAGCAATTTGGGGAAAAAATCATTAAAGGGATGTTAATTATTTATAATTGCAAAACAAAATAAGTAGAAAGTGCAGGAATATAAAGGATAAATTCTGTATATGCAAACATGATTGTTTCAAACCACAGGCCTTGCCCTTGGCAGAGTGGTGAATCCAAATAAATGACAAAGCCCATTAACATTATCATAGATCATTCAGACACAAAATACCTAAAAGGAATGTCTGGTTTGGCCAGATTAAGGCTACTTTAAAAACAGTTCTGCTTTCCCAAGGTGACCACAGATTTGTCATGCTCCAGTTGCAGACTTCTGGATCCAAAGATGTTTCTGCTGAAAGAACTCAGGGGTCGCAGTCCAGGTGGAACATGTGACTCTGTGAAGCTTAGCAGTGCAAAAGTTGTTTCTGCATTCAGAGATGCACTCTGCCCCAACACCGCTTTAACATTTGGACTGTGAGGCAGATGGTGCTTAGATGAAAGAAACTGATTAAATCAATGACATAACGCGGTGAAGCAAATTCACAGTGGCCTGAATTCTGGGGGTATGGCTGCTTGTTTGCAGAGCAGTGACTGCAATTCTCTGGGCTGTTTACAGCCATAAAGTGTAGAAATAAGACATAATATGAAATCCAAAGCAGGATAATACCAACTGCAGAGTAGAACACCAACAGCAAAGAGTAAGATCAGTACAAAGACCTGAAAAATCACCAAATGGTTTGCAAATTAAAATGCATGGGAAAATAGAAAGGCCTTTGCCTGATGACAAAAAGATGCTATTTCTGGATAGGACATTCTACAGATGATGTGCCACCACTGAAAAGACTTTCTCTAGCAGACAACTGTGGGGAATGCACAGAAGGGCCTCAGAATATGGGCTTAGGGTCCAGATGCTGTATGTCTATATGGGAGGGGGTGGTCCTTCAGGAAACCTGGTATCAAGCCATTTAGGGTTTTAAAGGCAAACACACCAGAACTTTGAATTTGACAGAGCAGGTGGCAAAGAATTATCTTCATGTTGTATTGGCAGTCTTAGCTTTCTCTGTTGTGCCCAGTGTCTTGTGGAATACTCTCCCTATTGAGATGAGGTGGGCATCCACTGTGGGTTAATCACCCATGCTTTCCATTATCACCAGTACCAGATCCTTGATGTACTTGGTTCCTGCAATAATACTTTGCTGACGGTTATTGGATATTGTTGTTTTTTATTATGTTTATATTATATTGTATTTATACCTCTTTCTCTTTTGTAAATAAAAAGCAGTATATAAAACTATAATATGGAGAAGGAGAATAAATTTTTTGCTGTCCAGGTCACAAGGTGGTTAGATTGGTCTCTGCTAGGGCCAGGGCCTTTTCAGTACTGGCCCCGATTTGGTGGAACGCTCTGCCACAAGAGACTAGGGCCCTGCGGGACTTGACATCTTTCCACAGGGCCTGCAAGACAGAGCTGTTCCGCCTGGCCTTTGGTTTGGACTCAGTCTGACCCTTATGTTTCCCTCCCCTTATGGTTTTGATCTATGGGCTACTATTAAAATGAGGCTGAATTTAAATTGTCCCCCCCCCATTATGTTTTTATTGTAATTTTACTGGTGATAGCCATCCTGAGCTTGGCTCTGGCCAAGGAGGGCGGGGTATAAATAAAAAAATATTGTTATTATTACAGAAGAGCTAATGTTTTCAAAGGCAACCCACATGTAGCTTGTTGCAGTAATCCAAATGAGAAGCTACTAGTGCATGGACAACTGTAGTAGCACAGCTAGTCCTGGCACAGATAGGATCACATTTGGTATAGCCTAAGGTGATTCAAAAGGGACGCGGGTAGCACTGTGGGTTAAACCACAGAGCCTAGGACTTGCCGATCAGAAGGTTGGTGGTTCAAATCCCCGCGACGGGGTGAGCTCCCGCTGCTCGGTCCCTGCTCCTGCCAACCTAGCAGTTCGAAAGCACATCAAAGTGCAAGTAGATAAATAGGTACCGCTCTGGCGGGAAGGTAAACAGTGTTTCCGTGCACTGCTCTGGTTCGCCAGAAGCAGCTTAGTCATGCTGGCCACATGACCCGGAAGCTATATGCTGGCTCCCTTGGCCAATAAAAGCGAGATGAGCGCCGCAATCCCAGAGTCGGCCACAACTGGACCTAATGGTCAGGGGTCCCATTACCTTTACCTTTAAGGTGATTCAAAGAATCATAGAGCTGGAAGGGACCCCAACGGTCATTTAGTTCAACCGCTTGCAATACAGGAATCTCATCCATGACAGATGGCCATCCAATCTCTGCTTAAAAACCTCCAAGTAAGAAGAGTCCACAAGCTCCCAAGGGAGACCGTTCCACTGTCAAGCAGCTCTTACTGTCAGAAAGTACCGGTACTTCCTGATGTTTAGGCAGAATCTCCTTTCTTGTACTTGAAGCCATTGGTTCAAGTCAGACCTTCCAGCAGGAGAAAACAAGCTTGCTGCATCTTCCATGTGACAGCCCTTGAGATATCTGAAGGTGGTTTTCGTATGTCTTCCCCAGCCTCCTCTTTTCTAGGCTAAACATACTGAGCTCCTTCAAGCACTCCTTGTAAGGCTTGGTTTCCAAACGCTTGGCCATCTTGGTTGCCCTCCTTGCACACATTCCAGCTTGTGAGCATCCTTCTTAATTTGTGGTACCCAGAATTGGACACAGTATTCCAGGTGTAGTCTGATCAAGGCAAAATGGAGCGGTGCTATTGCTTCCCTTGATCTGGACAATAGACTTCTGTTGATGAAGCATTAGGGGTTTTTTTTTTTGCTGCTGCATCACACTGTTAACTCAAGTTAAGCATTGCTGACTCATGAAGTCACTTGACAAATGCAAAGAAAAGGGGGGAAAATTATTAGTGCCCAACACCAGGTGCCAGCATCAAATCCCACATTGGGTGATGGAATCCTCACAGACCACAGCCGCTCCCATCCTCAGTGCCAGATTTACATATAAGCTAAACAAGCTATAGCTTAGAGGCCCACTCTCTTGGGGGCTCCCCAAAAAATTAAAGGAAAAAAACCTGGATGTAGATTCCCAAAATATAAGATAAAAAACACATAAAATAAAACCTACATACAGCAACAGTGTTTTGTGTTGTGTAGGCTCCTATGATGTACGGTACATAGGGAGCGTGCTAGCCTGCTCCCTAAAATATCACTGGTTTGCTCATTTCAATATATATAGGGTGCCTACAGTCTGCATGGACTGGTTGCATGGCAACATATGCTAATGGCTTTAGATACCTATTAGGTCAATAAATTACCATACAGCATATATTCAACACAAAGAAACAGCAACAATTTGTTGTTAACAAAGGACAGCTGGACATTGAAAGGGCCCCATTACCTTAGGGCCTCATCAAACCTAAATCTGGCCCTGCTCATCCTCATTTAACTAATGAATGATACAGTGGTACCTCGGGTTAAGAACTTAATTCGTTCCGGAGGTCCGTTCTTAACCCAAACTGTTCTTAACCTGAAGCACCACTTTAGCTAATGGGGCCTCCTGCTGCTGCTGTGCCGCCAGAGCACGATTTCTGTTCCCATCCTGAAGCAAAGTTCTTAACCTGTGGTACTATTCTGGGTGTCTGTAACCTGAAGCGTCTGTAACCTAAAGTGTCTGTAACCCGAGGTACCATTGTATATGCTTTACTCTGGACTGACTTGGTGTTCACTAACAGCTCTCCCAGATCCAAATATGGATTAAGGCGGTTGGGGGCCCTGGTGCAATTCCTCTTCTCCCAAAAAAGGAGTGCATGAAATAAAGTGCCAGAAAATATGCCTTGATGTATCTTAAGGACTATGTTAAGGAAGACAAGGTTGCCAGGAGGACAACTGTTAACCACAACAGTCCCTCTCCTCTCCTTACAGAATTCTTAGAGCTTGCAAGAATTCAATGCAATCAGTCAAGTAACATTTGAAACTGGCAAATGTTTGTGGTAGAGGCACATTTAAGGGAACAGAACAGGTGCATTTACTTAACACACCACGTTATCCAAGATAGGACCTTCACAACTTTGGCAAATAATCTCTCAAAATGGTATTAAATGTCTGTTTACCTTACTTACTTCAGTGTCTTTTGCCTTCACTGGGATATAAGTGTCAAAACACAATAAAAAAACTCATATTCCTCACAATGGTTTTCTCCGTTATAATTCTATATTCATCATAATGGGAAGTTGTTTTTCAATCTTGATGGGAGATGGAAGAAATCAAATTTCTGTTTGTACATTAAAATTTCTAGGAACCCAGAGGTACTAAATAAGACTAGGGGAGATTGCAAACCCTAATTTTTTTAAAAAAAAAAAAATCAAACAGCTGTTTACACTCAATGAGTGTATCTCCAAATAGAAAAACGAATGAATCTGGTAGACTTTTAAGGGGAAAGCTCAGGGAATAAACAAAAGAGACTGATAAGTCATATTAATTTGGCAGATGGTACAATTAATTATCTAGAATTGGGACAATTCCTGAAACGGACTTGGTTAATTCAGATAACTGTAGCACAACCCTAACAGCAAATAAAGTGTTTTAAGTGTTATATTTACCAGCATCAACTGATGAAAGCAGACCAGTTCTACAGTTAGCTAACCAACCGTAGACCAATAAAAGCAGAAAAAGTGAGCTCGCCCACTGGGTTTCTTCCCACAAATGTGATACACAGCATAGCCAAAATTAATAAAACATTGCTCATCCTTACACATAACAATCTCTGATTATTTTCAAATACACCTTTAACCAAAGCGATCTGTTACTACACAGTTATCACTAGGGAATCACAACAAAATAAAAATAGGTTACTGAGCTCCTCCGATTGCTATCACCAAACTTGTTCTTTTGGAACTTAGAACAAGATTTGTTAATAACACTGAATGCAGATGTTAAATAAGTTAGCGAACCTTTGAAGATTCCCTGCTTATTGGTCCACCCCTCCTCTATGTCTGCAGCATGAAGTCAATGCACCAAAGCCAACAGGATGTGCACAGAGCATGTGCAAAGTTTTATTTAACAAAATACATTCCCAAGTTCTGAACATAATCTCTCCTTCAAGGGGCAAAACATGTTAAAATAACCACTGGAAAAACACAACGTTGCAGCCTTCTAAGTGCCTCCTCAAAAAGGTCTGTTTAGTGAATGTTGCAAATATCCTCAAATATTCAAGTGTTTAATTCTCTCCCATTGAGATAAATGTGATGGATGTGCGTAAGGTTGGCCAGATTGTGCCTGGTGGCAGTAAATACTAAAAATATTCAGACGTGTGCTGCAGCCATAAACTGCAAATAATGAGATATTATTTTACTATTTATAGATGTCTTGAGCTGCATAAAATCCTTCCTTCTTTGAGTGGGACCACGAATATAAATACACTGACTCATAAAAAGTTGTGCTTTTTCACGGTGCTGTAAAGCTTTTCTGAAGTAATAAAATGCAATCCGTTTCAGAGGGAATGGAAATCCATTTGAAATCCATGCAATAAATTTGTAGATGGGAATTACAGAACAATAATTTCCTAACATATTGCGGAATGAAATGTACATAATTTTGATTATTTGGGAACAGTAGGTGTCACTGTAATCATTAAACTGAAAGTAAGTTTCTTCATAAAGTACATAGTTCCTTTTATATTCTCTATGGCCTGAGTTGATTTAAGAAGACCACCAGCTTGAGGGCCTTTATTTAGGCAATAAATATACATTTGTTCTTCATTTGTTTCATGAAGTCCATACACCGTTCTTCAAAGCAGTGCTTTGTGTAGTTAGCATGTTACTCTCCCTTAGTCTTTGGATTGCAATCTTGTGTCACTGTTCATTCTACAGCTACTATCCATTTGTATTGTAGTTGTTGCAGTGGCGGCTCCAGAAAAAAATATCGGCATGTGACACAGAAAGAGCAAAAGGCATTTCTGGAGCATCCTGCTTTGTCCAATATGTCAGGTTTCTGAAAGAAAACAGCAGTTATCAGTCAAATCAATGCTCCCATCCGAAACATATTTTCTCTGAAGTAAGTCCCTAATTTATTTTAACATAGGTATATTTCTTACAGCCTTATTTACATTTCCAGTCTATGATTTCATTATAAAGCCTATTATTATTATTATTATTATTATTATTATTATTATTATACCTTCCCTTCCTTCCAAAGTAGCCTATTGGCTGAGGGCCTTTATTTGGCATAAATGTTTGTTATTCCCTTTTTTTAATGAAGTCCAGACACCTTTCTTCAAGGTGTGGTTACATGCTGAAAGTACTTTTCCTTCAGGCGTGGTCCAGCAATGGAGAGGGAGGCTGGGGAGTAAACTAAGTCCATCGTCCCCACTGGTTGCTGAGTATTTGCTTCTGCCTGGGCAGACTCATTTCTTCCTAATCATATGTGGGGAGGGAGGAATATTGAACTACCAGCAGTCGGTTGTCACTCGTGAGGGTAATAAGTGGGCTTTGAAAGCTGGAACGTTCCTGCTTCTGAGTTTTCCCTCATATTTTAATAAGAGATTTGTGCCATGCTGATAACTTACTTAAGCAGAATGACAGCTACAGAAACATACAAAATTGCCTTGTATTGTCGACCCATCTAGTTCAGAATTGCTTACATGAACTGGACAAGGCCTTTCCAGGATGTCAGATAGGAGTATTTCCAAGCTTTACCTGAAAATGCTGAGGGTTGAAACTGAGAGTTTCTATGTTAATTGTCCATCCCATGCTGCATGCTTGGCATGCATTAAAAAAAAGGTAAAGGACCCCTGACAGTTAAGTCCATTCGCAGACCACTCTGGGATTGCGTTGCTCATCTCACTTTACAGGCCGAGGGAGCCGATGTTTGTCCGCTTCCACAGTTTTTCCGGGTCATGTGGCCAGCATGACTAAGCCACTTCAGGTGACACAAGAGCAGTGCACGGAAACGTTGCTTACCTTCCCGCCGGAGTGGTACCTATTTATCTACTTTCATTTTCAACATGCTTTTGAACTGCTAGGTTGGCAGGAGCTGTGACCAAGCAATGGGAGCTCACTCCGTCGTGGGGATTCACACCACTGACCTTCTGATCGGCAAGCCCAAGAGGCTCAGTGGTTTACACCACAGCACCACCTGCATCCCTTGGCATGCATTAGGAGTGACTAAAAGTTCCCTCACCTTCCCTCTGGTGATCTTCGTTTTGTCATTTCCTGTTTCTTGCCATGAGCATGCACAACCTAGAGAGTTCAGAAAATGTGAAGGTCATTTCACTCATTTGCTTCTGTGTACTGGACATGTATTTATTTTTTAATGACGATTTATAACCTGCTCGTCATTAAAAAGTTCAATCCCATAGTGGGGAAACAATTAAAAAAAATATATACAGGGGGGGAAAATACTTTAAAAATAAATGCAAAAATTACAGAATGCATACCAACAAATCCCATAAATAGCAAACAAACAAACAGCTCTGTCATAAAACAAACTAAACTAAACAGCAACTGAATGTACAATTAAAAGTACTTTACTAAATGTAAAGTGCATATTTGGTTTGTTTGGTGCTTTTTGGCACTACTGAGGCATTGCTTTTCTGCAGTTGTCTGGAAGTAGAACTGGGACTTAACATAGTGCAATGTTCAGTGCTATTTTTTCTAGAAAAAGAGGTTCTGGAACTCTCCGTGAACGCCTCCATTGTTCTCTTATAATGGCAATGGTGTCCACCTGAGAGGTGCCAGAACTGAGTTCCAGTGAGTTCCGGCTGAAAAAAAGCCCTGGCAATGTTGCCCAGAAATTAGTGATGGACAAGCTCCCCTCGGCTCACATCAGATTGGCAAAGAAAGCAATTGAGCTATTTATTTCCAAATGGTTACATAGCTCAGTTCATTGCTGAACCAGTCTGGGCAGCTGTTCAAGGCAGACCTCAGCAAGGAAAGGATTCAGCTTTGAAGAGTAGGCCCAAGAAAATTTGGAGTCAGAGCCATAAGCCCAACCTCTTGTGGGGGATCCTCTTAGCCAAAAGGTCTGGCTTTGCAAAGCAACAGATAATATCTGCATTGCTCTCATAGGGAGCCGAACTCGAGAGTTGGCCTGGAGAAAATGGAGTATGAAGACCTTGGACTATGAGGGTTCCCTGCAAAGGAGGTCTTTGACCCCTCACTCTCAGATTTCTGGAATCAGTTCTTTCGTTCCACGCTTCACCTAGCACCTTTGCTTCATACAGCCACCTAGCAAAGCAACAGATATTTATCCAGGAGAGGCCAGCAGGGAAGGGCAGCAACATACACTGGGGGATATCTGGTAGGTAGGCTTTTGCCTCAAGTTCCAATTTCCCCGAGAGCAGCTCTTTAGCTGGGAAGTCTTCTTCAGCTCAGAACAAAGGGCTTCTAGTGCTCACCCATGCTTTAGGGTGGTGCTCCTCAAACATGGGTCTCTAGCTGCTTTTGGACTACAATTCCCACCATCCCTGACCACTGGACTTGCTAGCAAGGGATGATGGGAGTTGTAGTCCAAAACTGCTGGAGGCCCAAGTTTGGGAAACACTGCTTTAGGGCAGGGGTCAGCAACGTTTTTCAGCTATGGGCCAGTCCACCGTCCCTCAGACCATGTAGTGGGCCAGATTATATTGGGGGGGGAATAATTGATTCCCAGACCTTCCATGGGCCGGATTGAGAAGGCGATTGGGCCACATCCGGCCCATGAACCTTAGGTTGCCTACCCCTGCTTTAGGGTGACCAATACTAAGCTCCATTTCCAGTCCTTAGCCTGACCTTGTTCTCATGGCCAAGATCCTTTTCTACTATTTACTCAGAATTAAACTCCATCAAAGCTGGGAGACAGCTTCACCTCACTGCTTCAGTGGCAATACATCCTGAGATGTGGCCCTGTGGGTTAAACTACAGAGCCTAGGACTTGTCGATCAGAAGGTTGGCGGTTCGAATCCCCGCGATGGGGTGAGCTCCCGTTGCTCTGTCCCTGCTCCTGCCAACCTAGCAGTTGGAAAGCACGTCAAAGTGCAAGTAGATAAATATGTACTGCTCCGGCGGGAAGGTAAACAGCGTTTCCGTGCGCTGCTCTGGTTTCCCCAGAAGCGGCTTAGTCATGCTGGCCACATGACCCGGAAGCTGTACGCTGGCTCCCTTGGCCAATAAAGCGAGATGAGCGCCACAACCCCAGAGTCGGCCATGACTGGACCTAATGGTCAGGGGTCCCTTTACTTTTACCTTTACCAAAGCTGGGAGACAGCTTCACCTCACTGCTTCAGTGGCAATACATCCTGAGATATTGGAAATGACAGCTCAAGGAATATTGTGAAGGAAATTACTGCTCTTTTAATTAACTGCTCATTTATTTGGGTGTAAACAAGTCCTGGAAATGGAGGACTAATGGGGGACAATCTGGGGATGTGTGTGGGAGGCTGTGTAAGTTGCCCCTTAGACGCACCTTGGGTGAAACAGCCCCTGCAGATGAACCCCAAGCACAGCATTCTCTTTGGGGAGATAATAAAAGCATAGCAGAAGTATCCTGCAAAGCAAGCAAGAAAGCCCAACTGCTATTCCTAGAATTGAAAAGCAAAGTGTTTGAACTGAGCCATGGCTAAAACCAGAAGCACCCAGATGCAGCGGTAAAGCTGGGGAAAGAGAGACAATTTCTCCTCGTTCTGCTTCGTGCTGGGCTCTAAGGTTAGCCAAATAATCCTTCTCCGGTTTTGACTTTTGTCAACTAGGCCTCTTCCAATTAAAACACAAAAAAACCTGAGGTTGCCTGAGAGACTCTCTGCAGGCAGCTTATTTCTCTCACATACAGGAGAGCTCCCATCAATCAGCCCCAGAGCTCCCTCTCATTTCTGCTGACTCCAACAACTGCTCAGCCGAGTCTCTGTGATAATGGGCCAACATCCAGCTCTGAGTGTGACTCACAAGTGACACGTCTCAAACGCCTTCAGAAAGGAACCTTGGATGCAGTGCAATTAACCTAATCTATTCTTCATGCAACTTTTCAGTTACAGACTCGGACATACACTTGGATATGAAACTCATTGCTCAAAAGTATATCCTCCTGAAATCTCAGGACTTAATTGCAGACAATCTGTGCAACAATTATGGTGGAATTGCCTCACAGAAAGTAAAGAGAGGATTTAAGGCAAAAACTAGTTATCTTTCTGTATTACGCTCCAATACATAAATATCTTAAAATCTTGGTTATGTCTATTTCACTGAATCTTACAATCTCCAGTACTATATGAGTGTATACTTGATGTTCCCAAACTCCTCTTTTGGTTATTATCAGTAATGTCTGTTGCATCAATGTACTTCTTTACAGCTCCATGATATGGAGAGAGATTTGTCAAAGGTTATCCAGTGAACTTTATGGCTGAGCAGAAATTTTTAATCCAAAAAGGGTCTCTTAATCCATGACATCTTAAAAAGCAGAGACATCACCTTGCCAACAAAGGTCCGTATAGTTAAAGCTATGGTTTTCCCAGTAGTGATGTATGGAAGTGAGAGCTGGACCATAAAGAAGGCTGATCGCCGAAGAATTTATGCTTTTGAATTATGATGCTGGAGGAGACTCTCGAGAGTCCCATGGACTGCAAGAAGATCAAACGTATCCATTCTGAAGGAAATCAGCCCTGAGTGCTCACTGGAAGGACAGGTCCTGAAGCTGAGACTCCAATACTTTGGCCACCTCATGAGAAGAGAAGACTCCCTGGAAAAGACCTTGATGTTGGGAAAGATGGAGGGCACAAGGAGAAGGGGACGACAGAGGACGAGATGGTTGGACAGTGTTCTCGAAGCTACCAGCATGAGTTTGACCAAACTGCAGGAGGCAGTGGAAGACAGGAGTGCCTGGTGTGTTCTGGTCCATGGGGTCACGAAGAGTCGGACACGACTAAATGACTAAACAACAACAACAATCCATGACATCACAGATGACTATTTGGTGGAGAGATTTCACTTCCTAATGTGTGTATTCAGGATAATAATAAAGAATCTGAATCTCTGTTACATGTCCAAGGAACTCTTGCACATTCTGTAGTTGCACTAGGAAACCTCAGGTCTGCAATTAAATCTGGCTAACAATATCACCCCAGGCTAACAATATCACCTTCCCTTACAGGGTGGTTACACTTATACTGTAATAAAAACCCCAAAAGAAGTTTGAAGAAAGCAGCAGTTTCCAGACCAAACAGGAAGCACCTTTCATTTCTATTGCGAGAGATGGCTCTCTTCATATCAATCAATCAATCAATCTTTATTGCGGTCAAAGACCAGACAGCAAAATTAACAACAGCAACATACACTTCAGCTCTCTTAGTACTATTGGCACTAATTGAGGTGCTAGCATGTAATCTGGCATAGGTGCCGACTCCCTGGGGCCTGAGCACCCACAAAATTCTCCATGAAGGGCCTGGGCACCCACAACTTTCAGCACCAGGGCCATGCATGCTGCATGGCACCCACAGCCTCGGGCCCCCACAGTTGCAAGACCAAGCTGGTACTCCTGTGATCTGGAGTTTCACAAGCTGGTCTGGCTATATACCCTTGCTGCTTTGCTTGCTTGTTTTAAGGCTATCCATTCACCCTCCACAGCAATGCAGTACCCACCTCCTATGTTTATTTGCTTGTTTGTTTGTGTGTTTGTTTAATTCTGTCTCAACCCTGATGTCACATTCAGACTGTAAAGCTAGCCTCATCTCCTTATATAATAATAATATTACAATACCTTTTTATTTACCGGTATATGCCACCCTTCTGATGGGGTTGCCCCAGCCACTCTGAGTGGTTTCCAACAGATTAAAACATCAAACACAGTAAAATATCAAACTATACAGGGCTGCCTTTGGAGGTTTTCTAAAGGTTATATAGTTACTCATCTCTTTGATGTCTTCTGATAGTCATATAGCTGTTCATCTGTTTGACGTTTGATGGGAGGGCATTCTGCAGAGCGGGTGCCACTACTGAGAAGGCCCTCTGCCTGGTTCCCTGTAACCTCACTTCTCACAGGGAGGGAACTGCCAGAAGGCCCTCGGAGCTGGACCTCAGTGTCCGAGCTGAATGATGGGGGTGGAGATGCTCCTTCAGGTATACAGGGCACCAGCACTTTAGGCACCAGGATTTTAAATTGTGCTCAGAAGCATGCATAAAACATGGGGATGGGATTATCATTACAATGCTGTTATCATTTTTTTTTTTTTAAAGATACCTTATCTGGAAAAGCCACTGGTAAGTGGGAACAAGAGAGAGTTCATCTTTTACCAGATCTTTCCCCACAGACATCTGCAAGCCACAGCATGACATTGAAACCCAGATCTCAGGAGATCTAGGAATTCTACACTACTAGTGCTTTTTTGCATGGCTTCAAGTTGCATTGGCTGCCATTTCAAAACACACATTTATTTAAAAAAACTAAATCACCTTTTTGCAGCCATCATTCTCCATCTGCTGCTCCTTGAACTCTTCCTTTTTTAACTAAAAGGGCTCCTTCATCTTGTTCATTACATGGTCCCTGGTTGGCTGATGTCACAGCGCCACATAGGATGAAGTCATTGAAGACATACAAAGCCATCCTATTGTCTTCACTCTGAATGGGGGAGGGGGAGACATAGCCCCATTGCCCAGGCAACCAGGTCAACTCCCCTGTCTTTTCCTGCTCTTCTGGTAGCTTCATGGCCCACCTGTGTCATCTAGCAGTGCTTTTCACCCTGCTTCACGTTTACTTCCTTGGAGTTACTTATGACAAGCTGGAGATGTGCACCAGCTTATGTCCTGCCTTCCCTCACATCAGCTATATCCTTGCATATAGATTTGCAACTTTTTGTGGGGCAAACATTACTGAAAGGGGTGTCTTGGACACAGGGAAGGATATTCCCCTAACTTCCCCCTGTTCTAGGCTAATCACCAGCCAATATTTGGCCAAAAAGTTCAGCCCACAGAAGTAAAAATGGCGTAGGTGCCGGTTTCACAACACCACAGAATTAAATCAATTAGTCAAAGCCAGTTCTCAGCATTTTGTCACTCTCAATGTTCCATCAGATGCTAGATCACAAAGAAAGTGGCCTTGAGATGATGACATTTGTAATCCACTCATCTGACTGGGTTGGCCCAGCCACTCTGGGCAGCTTCCAGCATATACAAAAACATAATAAAACATTAAAAACTTCCCAATACAGGGCTGCCTTCAGATGTCTACTAAAGGTTGTATAGCTACTTATCTCCTTGACATCTCATGGAAGGGCATCTCACTGGGAGGGTGCCACTACCAAGAAGGCCCTCTGCCTGGTTCCCTGCAACTTCACTTCTCGTAGTGAGGGAACCAGTAGAATAACCTTGGAGGTGGACCTCAGTATCCGGGCTTGATGATGGGGGTGGAGATGCTCTGTCAGGAATACAGGGTGGAGGCTGTTTAGGGCTTTAAAAGTCAGCACCAGCACTTTGAATTGTACTCAGAAACATACTAGGAGCCAGTGTAGGTCTTTCAGAACTGGTGTTATATGGTCCTGGCGGCTGCTCCCAGTCACCGGTCAGATGAAATTATGAAATTATGATTCTACATAGGTGGGGTTACCAGGGTGAGGGAGAAGGTTTAGCTTCCACTCCAATAGAGTCTCCAAGCCCTTCTCTTTCTTCCCTGTACCAGAATCATTGCCATCCACTTCTGTGGTGAAAAGTAAAATGTTTGGGAACATGGTTATTGTGAGGGTAAAACATTCTCTCTCATCCTCCAATACAGGCAGGGGCCGATATACTATAAAACTAAGGAAGCTTAAGCTTCAGGGACCCTAATTGCGGAGGTGACCCAGAAGTGATTTTCATCCACATTGCTTTTAAAAAATTGGGTCCACAATCCCAAAGTTTGAGAGTCAGCAGCATAGATGTTGTAAAAGCTGTTGCAAAGGGACCCCCATACCAGCTCAAGATTGAGGGTGCCCAAAGTGTAAGTCTGCAGCTGCTAACAGGATTCCCCCACAAGGCTGCAATAGGTCCCTGTGTGCAGACTGTACAGAGATATAGTGCATTCCTCAAAGGACCTTGCAACATAACTCCTCATGTATTATTTTCTTCATACATATGTGTACACGTAACCTTGTACTAAGGATGGAGGAAAACTTCAGTTCAGTTTGCATTTTAATGCAAATCTGACTAATTTGTGCTCCCTGAAACAACATGGGTATCCTTCAAAATTAACAGTTGTCTGAATTTTGCGATGCAAAATTCTCCGATTAAAAATGTGTGCAAAACTGCATACGTTATGCGGAATGTATGCCTAAATATGCATATGTTGGTAAAACAACATGCAAAAATGCATTCTAGAGGCCAAAATTGCTTGCCAAAATGTGTATATTAAGAGCAATGTGCACTAAAATGCCAACAATTTTTTGTGAGGGCTTCTCTTTTTTTAAAAAAAAAATGCAAACCTATGCTGAAATTTCAGGAGCTGAAGTTCAGACTGGGAAACTGAGAAAAATTGGAATTGACGGATTCATCCATCCCTCACTTGGAGCCAAAGTTCATAGTTTAGTAATTATTTATTGTAATTGTTAAGAATGAATTTCTGTTTAATTATTATTTGCTGATATTTTGAGAGTTCATTTTATTGTGTACTATTATATTCTAATATATTATTGAATATCACTTTATTTGATATAAATTGTTCCACTGTATTGTGGCTTTTTGTGTTGGATCAGATTATTTTAAGGTGTGTGTCCTTTTCTGTATATTTTGTGTATACACAAATTAATTTGTAAATTTAAAATGACGTGAAAATGAAATGAAACGCACCGTGACTTATGGAAAAGCTTCATGAAGTCATGCAGTGGATCCAATCCATAGTCTGTAATAGAAAGGCAACAATGTATTATTTTACTAGCATACGTTTACCATCATGTACACCCTTCATAGTGTACACAGAGGGAATTAGCAACAGAGATGAGGTGCAGAACTAGGTCACTGAGCATTTACTGTAGGTTTCGAAACACTGACCCAGATACTAATCTGTTGAATTCTACTACAAATCCTTGCTAGTTTAAGCATATTTTCACAGAATTAGCAAACAGAAATTGGCACTCAATTTCTCCCATTTCTTTTCTTGAGTCAACAGCAGTAATTCGACAAGCCAAAACGAAACAGTTCCACATTATAAAAGAGGAAAGTGCCCCTTGGAGACTCAAGAAACCCCATAAAATGTAGTAAATGAGCCTCTACTTTTGCTATATTTCAAATTCCTTGGATTAATGTTGACCCCCATTTATTGGCATCCAGCAGAGAAATGGAGGGATATTGTTTGGAAACGCTTTTGGAGCAGCTTAACAATGTTGAGACAGCATTAATTGTGTTTCTTTTTCTTTTGCTGTTTTTTTGTAGGGAGATTTTCACCTTTCTCAGAGTCTGTAACTTTTTGGCATTGTCCCAGGTGAAATTACTAGAACCGCATAACCCAAGCTTTTTTTTAAGGGTTCAGTCAAAGTTTTGTAAATCA